GGTTTGTGTACTTAAGGGAGTGTTCTGCCATTAAAATTCAATGAAAATACTATTGGTTGAAGCCTCGCCGTGTCATTATAAGGGGTAATGAGCTCTACTTTATCCAGCTTATTGGATAAAATGGCGTGCAACCATACACACCACTCCGAGTCCTCCGACAGTTTGGACAGATTCAAATGATACCTCTGCGATCCTATATGGGCCACTATGGATATGACTTTGGGCCAGAAATACCACGAGTGGACACTATTCTGCGAAGATAGGAAATAGTGGTGACTATTGATGTTCGAGAGCATAGACCCTTCTGCACACCGGAGTATTATGTGTGGCTTTTGGAAGACGCAGAGCATGCAGATTTGAGCGAAGAAGGCCTCCCAGGTTTTGGTGATGAAAGGGAAAGAAGATGGGCTCGCAACCTCCTCAACAATAATTATGATATCACTCCAGAGACGAGGCATCAGATTGTGCCTAACATTGGAGACCAGCATTGATCCCTTTTTCTTTTTATGATTTCTATTTGCCCATGTTATCCCTAGCCCTTTAGTTTATTTCTAGTTTTGCTTTAGTCTGATGTAATAAATTGAAATTATTCAATATATGAAGATCATTTTTATTTCTCTAACTCTAAACTCCTATTGGTAAATAAGGCTTGAATTAATCACTATGCATCACTTATATGCCGTCTTAGGCCTACCTCTGGCTCAATGAGGTCCCTTGCATCTAGGACACTTATTTCAAACAATGTGCTATTATTTTTATTATCTGCTCTAATCTCCTAACACAGTTTTCTGTTGATACCATTATTTTTACCATTCCTAAGGTTGATCTGTCCTTCATTCTGGTACATACACGATCCAAAGGGACCCCTCCCTTCTCCTCTTCCTCAGAGAACAGACTACAAAGACAAGGGTAAAATGGTTGACAACAACAGCAACAACGAAATAGTAGAAACTTCTGAGGGAGGGCAACTTCCAAGTGACCTCGTCCTTAGACTTGAGCGCAAAATTTTAGATTTGGAAGAAGAAGTAGCGCATATGCGTGATTTGGCCAAGTTGTCTATTTCTCTCGAAACCCAGTTTGGCAAAAATATAGACAATCCTCCTCACTCTAACCAAACAACCATGCCAAACAATCCTCCAACCAATGTATCTCGACCTGAACCCACTCATCCAAATATCTTCCCACCACTTCATGCCCAAAATACCCAAATCCCATTTTACCACTACCACCAACAAACTAAACCAGCCATTCCAGAACCAATTCCTAATGCAAACCCTTCATATACTCCCAGAAATAACAACCTCAACCCAATATATGTGGAAGCCACTCCCGTGACCCCATAACTACCATGAAACAGAGTCCTCCCAAAAGGACATTCTGATTAAAAACCTGACCGAGAGATTAGATAGCTTGGCCAACAGGGTGCAATATGTGGAAGGAAGCAAGAGGTTAGGAGGACTGAGCTACGAGGATTTGTGTATGCACCCCGACGTAGAACTGCCTGAAGGATACAAGCATCCAAAGTTTGAAATGTTTAATGGCATTGGAGATCCCAAAGCCCATCTGCGAATGTACTGTGACAAACTTGTAGGGGTGGGGAGAGATGAGAAGATACTCATGAAGTTGTTTATGAGGAGTCTCACTGGGGAGGCTCTATCGCGGTATATTGAACAAGACCCTCGGAAATGGGTTGAGTGGGTGGACATGGCAACCGACTTCATGAACAGGTTTGGATTTAATATAGAAAATGAACATGAATGGTTCTACATCCAAAACCTGAAGAAAATGCACAGTGAATCCTTCAAAGATTACGCCATAAGATGGAGGTCTGAGGCGACAGGGCCAGACCTCCCATGGAAGAATCTCAAATGAAAGACTACTTCATCCGTGTCCAAGAGCCATAATATTATGACAGGATGATGCTTGTAGCTGAGAAGAGTTTTGCTGAAATTATCAAATTAGGCGAAAGAATTGAAGAAGGCATAAAAAATGGGACCATCATCAACCTAGAGGCCCTACAAGCCACCAACAAAGCTCTGCAATCCGGGGGAATGGCAGAAAACCAGAAGAAAACAGGCTCAGTCATGATGGCTCAGGGAACCAAAACCCCTTATAAGTACCAATCAACAACCCCACCTATATCTCCCAACCCCATGCCAATATATTACCAAAATGCTCCTCCTCAATATCAACAAGCTTCATATCCTGTCTATAATCCCCAGCCAACATACTTCCAAACTCCACCACCTACTCAAACACCGAACTACCGAAACAGACATCCATATGAAAGAAGACCTTCAAAAAACTATACCCTCTTGGCTGAGCCCATAGCCCAGCTTTATGAGAGACTGAAAGAGACCGGCTATGTCACCCTAGTTCCTGCATTGCCTGTGGATGTCCGCGCAAAATGGTATGACCCTAACAAGGTTTGTGCCTACCATTCTGGGATGAAAGGTCACACTACCGAAGTTTGCAAAGCCCTGAAAGATAAGGTTCAAATGTTGATTGATACTAAGGCTATCCAGCTCAAGGATCCAGCACCAAATGTTGCAAACAACCCTCTGCCTAACCATCATGTCAACATGGTAGAAGTTGATGACACCTCGAATTGGGAGAAACCCATTTGGGTCTTTGAGCCAGAAGAAGAAATGACTACTACCGCTCAGACTCCATTGGTAGTGCAAAGGCGTGCTCCGTTTGAGGTTGAGGTTGCCATGCCTAAGCCCCCATTCAGCGTCCTCAAAGCTCCTCCACCTCCTCAATTTTATACCCATGCTGTCCCATGGGATTATCAAAAGGGAAAGACAAAAGTGGAAGAAGCAGACACTGCAGCAAGAGTGACTAGATCCGGAAGAATTTACACTTTCAAAAATTTAGGTCAGGGTAGCTCCAGCAAGTCTAAATCACCAATTGTAGAGTTTGAAGATCATGGTATCTGGAAGAAGGCACAAGCTAAAGAGTACTCTATTGTTGATCAATTGAGTAAAACCCCGTCCCAAATATCAATCTTATCATTGTTTCAATCTTCCAAAACTCATCAGAATGCTCTATTGAAGGTCCTGGGTGAAGCCTATGTCCCATCTAGCATCACTCATGGAGAGGTGGCCCAAATGGTCGAGCAGGTTTTTGAGGCATACCGAATATGTTTTCACGAAGATGAGTTGCCACTTGAAGGAACAACCAACAATAAGGCTTTATACATTTCAGCTCAATATTAGGACAAGATAATCACCAAAGCCTTGGTTTATTCAGGTTCCGATTTGAATATCTGCCCTCTGAGCACGTTGACAAGGCTAGGCGTGGATAGTGCAAAGATCCAAACCTGGAAGATGAATGTGAGAGCTTTTGATGGCTCTTAGAGGGGTACTATTGGGGAAATAACCTTGGACATGCTCATTAGTCCTGCTACTTTCCCAATAGCTTTCCAGGTCGTGGACATTCCATTCTTATATAACTTATTGTTGGGTTGTCCTTAGATTCATATGGCTGGAGCAGTTCCCTCTACTCTTCATCAATGCTTGAAGTTTGAATGGGATCACGAAGAGGTTGTAGTCCATGGGGAAAAGGGATATCCTGTATATACAATAGAAGGAAGGGGTCATCTAGATGGTGAGATGTACCATACAGTTGAGCTTGTTGGCATCATTGAAGTGCAACCTTAGTTTAGCCAGAAGATCATAGATATGATGGCCTGGTTTGGTTTTGAGCTCGGGAAAGGTTTGGGAGCCAATCTACAAGGAATAGTTGAACCTATACAACCCGTTCGTCATTCAACACTTTCGGCTTGGGAAACAAATATACTACTGAGGAGTGGCTTGATTAGCAGCCACCTAGAGAAGGGTACTACTATCCATTGAAGAAACCCATATCACTGTTGCACCAATCATTTCGATCAACAGGTTTCATGGGTGGCATCATTGATGAGGTTATAGAAGACATGAAAAGTTTGTCTTTGACCAAAGAGGAAGGAAAAGGCTGCAATGTCGTGATCAACGAGGAGGAGAAAGGGGACCCTAGATGAAGCAGTGAAGCGAAGATTAGCATCAACATTTGGACCTCAACTCCATCCAGACCTCGTCGGGCATCTAGGTAGCTTTGGAAGAAGTTTTCCTATCAAATTTTTAAAGTTTTCAATAAACTGTTTTAAATTCCAATTCTCTGTTATTGTTTTCAAATGCTAGTATTATGAAACTCTTGAATTTAATCAATAAAGTGCTTTTCCCATCTATTTAATATCTTATATTTATTTGTACGTTATTCTTTCTTCGAGCAAAATCTGTTATAAAAATGTTGAACCTGAGACTATGGCATATAATGAGATTACACAACTTAACATTAATGACTTAGATGAAGTCGAAGAAATTTAGGTCCCTGAAGAGTTAATCAGAAAGGTTGAGGAATTCGAGGAAAACCCCAACTCGAATTTAGTGGAAACAAATTTGGTAAATCTGGGAAATTCAAAAGTGGTACAAAAGACCTGAGTAAGCATCCATATGACGAAAGATGACAAGAAAGAGTATACAGAGTGTCTCATGGATAATAAGGATATCTTCGCCTGGTCCAATGAAGACATGACAGGGTTAAGCACTTCAATCGTAGCTCATCGATTGCCCACTGATCCAACATGTCTTCCTGTGAAGCAGAAGCTGAGAAAATACAAGCCTGAGTTGAGTTTGAAAATTAAGGAAGAAATATCAAAGCAATTAGATGCTGGAATCCTTCAAGTGACGGAGTACCCAACCTGGCTTGCAAATGTCGTTACAGTGCCCAAGAAAGACGGAAAGGTTAGAGTTTGTGTGGATTATCGGGATCTCAGCAAAGCTAGTCCCAAAGATAATTTTCCATTGCCCAACATACACATCTTGATTGATAATTGTGCTAAACATGAAACACAATCGTTCGTGGATTGCTTTGCCGGCTATCATCAAATTGAGATGCACAAGGACGATTCTGAGAAGACTGTATTCATCACATCGTGAGGTGTTTACAACTACAAGGTAATGAATTTCGGATTAAAGAATGCTGGGGCTACATACATGAGGGCAATGACCACCATGTTTCACGACATGATCCACAAGGAAATTGAAGTTTATGTGGATGATGTCATCATCAAATCAAAGAAGGGTTCAAATCATCTAGATGATCTGCGAAAGCTCTTTGCCAGGCTACGCAAGTATAACTTGAAGTTGAATCCTGCAAAATGTGTCTTTGGGGTTCCTGCTGGAAAGCTTCTGGGTTTCATTGTCAGCCGCCGGGGTATAGAACTGGATCCATCGAAAATCAAATCCATTCGTGATCTACCTCCGCCAAAGAGTAAGAAAGAGGTAACGAGTTTCTTGGGATGACTAAATTACATTAGTCGTTTCATAGCCAGTCTACTGTCATTTGTGAGCCTATCTTCAAGCTGTTGAAGAAGGATGCTGCGGTGAAATGGATAGACGAATGTCAACAAGTGTTTGACAAAATAAAAGATTACTTGTCCAATCCACTTGTGTTGGTTCCACCAGAATCTGGTAGACCACTGTTGTTATACATATAAGTGTTGGATAATGCTTTCAGCTGCATTTTGGGGAAACATGATGAGACTGGAAAGAAGGAGCAGGCGATATATTACATGAGCAAGAAGTTTACATCATACGAGGCTCGATACTCTCTATTGGAGCGTACCTGTTGTGCTGTAACTTGGGTCGCCCAGAAACTGCGACACTACCTCTCCTCGCACACTACTTATCTGATTTCAAGGATGGATCCTCTGAAGTATATCTTTCAAAAGCCCATGCCTACAGGTAAACTGGCTAAATGGCAGATATTACTGAGCGAGTTTGACATAGTGTATGTTACACAGAAGGCAATGAAGGCACAAACATTAGCAGATCATATGGCGGAGAACCCTGTAGATGATGATTATAGACCGTTGAAGACTTACTTCCCAGACGAAGAAGTAGCTTTTGTCGGGGAAGACATTTCTAAAGAATATGATAGTTGGAGGATGTTCTTTGATGGAGCTAAGAACTTGAGCGGATCCGGCATCGGAGCTGTTTTGATCTCACCAACTCGGCAACATTATCCGGTATCAGCCAAACTCAGGTTCCTTTGCTCAAATAATATGTCTGAATATGAAGCTTGCACATTGGGACTCCAACGTGCTATCGACTTGGATATCCAAGAAATGTTGATAATAGGAGATTCAGACCTATTGATTCATCAGGTCCAAGGCGAATGGGTTACCAAGAATCGAAAGTTGTTACCATACTTGGAGTGCGTGCATAGGTTGTGTAAAAGGTTCATCAAGGCAGAATTCAAACATGTGCCAAGGATCCAACATGAATTCGTAGATGCCTTAGCCATTTTTTCTTCCATGATTCAACATCCTGATCATAATTACATTGATCCTATTTACATCCACATATACGAGCAATTAACATACTGTTTTCATATTGAGGAAGAGCCTGATGGAAAGCCTTGGTACGATGACATTCGAGGATATTTGAAAAGCGGTAAGTATACAGAGGATGCAACAAGTGTACAAAAGCGTACAATTCGGAGGTTAGCGAATCAATTCTTTCTAAGTGGAGAAATCATTTATAGGAGGACTCCCGACTTGAGGTTGCTAAGGTGCGTCGAAGCTGGAGAAGCTAGTGGACTGATTGAAGAGATACATGTAGGAACATGTGGTCCTCACATGAATGGTTTTACATTGGCCAAGAAGATCCTAAGATCGGGATATTTCTGGCTAACTATGGAAACAGACTGTATTCGCTATGTTAAAAAATGTTACCAATGTCAGACTCATGCAGATATGATTCGAGTTCCTCCCAACGAACTCCATGTTACTAGTTCACTTTGGCCCTTTGCAGCTTTGGGCATGGACGTCATTGGTCCAATCGAGCCAGCAGCATCCAATGGACATAGATTCATTCTGGTTGCAATCGACTACTTCACCAAGTGGGTCGAAGCTAGCTCCCACAAATTAGTGACAAAGAAGGTTGTGGATGACTTTGTAAAAAATAACATCATCTGTAGATTCGGAATTCCTGAGTCCATCATCACTAATAATGGAACCAACCTAAATAGTGATTCGATGAGATCATTTTGCGAGAAATTCAAGATCAGTCATCGAAATTCTACAGCATATAGACCACAGATTAATGGAGCTATTGAGGTTGCAAACAAGAACATCAAGAGGATATTACACAAAATGATCGACAATCATAGACACTGGCATGAAAAGCTACCATTTGCATTGCAGGGATATCGTACCAGCATCAGAACTTCTACTGGGGCTACACCTTATTTTCTAGTATATGGTAATGAAGTTGTGATACCTGCTGAAGTAGAGATACCATCTCTAAGGATTATTCAGGAAGCGGAGTTGAGTGATGTTAAATGGATACAAGTTCGGGCGGAGAATCTGGCATTAATATATGGAAGAAGAATTAATGCCATTTGTCATGGTCAACTCTATCAAAATAGAATGGCCAGAGAGTTTAACAAGAAGGTTAGACCCAGACACTTCTCACCTAGGCAACTGGTTTTGAAGCGGATTTTCCCAAATCAAGATGAAGCAAGGGGTAAATTCTCACCAAACTGGCAAGGCCCATACATAGTCTCTCGGGTATTAACAGGCGGAGCCCTCATACTTGCAGAAATGGATGGAGAAGTTTGACCCAAACCTATCAACTCAGATGTTGTGAAGAGATATTACATCTAAGTTTGTTTCATGCTCTCTTACTTTGTAATTGGAACTACGTCAGACCTGATTCCTGTTTAAGAGGGGATACGTAGGCGCTCCTATGGAGTTCGGTCTTTATCCGAATAAAAATTTCATTTTCCCCTTTTACTGTGTAACTGGGCCAGAATTTTTGAGAGGGTCTCAAAAATTCCATCAGAATGAAATTTTCCTGCAAGTGATGACACTGGGCAGAATTTTTTAGAGGGTCTCAAAAATTCCTTCAAACGAGTAGTTTCTGCACAAATCAAGACTGGGGCAAAATATTTGAGAGGGTCTAAAAAATTCACAATAATCAAGCTATAATATTCAACAAAGATCAGATAACAGATTTGATACTGAGTTAGATGTTGTAAAGTCTCAAACTGTGTCATGGTGAAAGATTCAACAAAGATCAGATAACAGATTTGATACTGAGTTAGATGTTGTAAAGTCTCAAACTGTGTCATGGTGAAAGATTCAACATTACTTTTTACAACCTAATATTTTCAAAAAACTCTCTCCTTCTATTTTACATTTTTCTTCAAAGAAAATGCCCGAAAAGGTCTGGATAGCAAGCCAAAGGAAGCACACCGGTCAGAGCAGATCAACCTCCCCCATTTTTAAACTCACAATTTTTCTTTGAATACAGGATAGACATGTATAGATACAAAAAACAACTTCAACATCGCCTGACCGCTATTAAGCTCGACGAATCGCCAATCAAATGGCATACTATCCTTCTGACAGAATGAAGGACCAAGTTATTTTGAGCCCGACAATCGCCAATCAATGGTACACTATCCTTCCAATCAGACAAAAGGATCAAACCACTCCATATCAAGTCTGACAAATCAACATTCAACTGCACCCACTCCTTACAATATGACGAAGGGTCAAAGTTACAATATTCCGAACTAAAAAAATTGCCAACAAATGACACTCAATCCTTCCGAAAGGTGAAGGTCTATGCCCTCAATCAATTATCGCACAAGCCCAAAAACTATATTATGCCCGAAGATTGCATGTGTCTGATATTGCATTATGCCCGAGAATTGCATTTTTGCATGTGCTCGAAATTGCATTGTGCTCGATATTGCATTATGCCCGAGAATTGCATTGTGCCCGAAGAATGCATGTGTCCGATATTGCATTGTGCCCAAATTGCATTATGCCCGATATTGCATTGTGCCCGAGATTGCATGTGCCCAAGACTGCATTATGCTCGAAAATTGCATGTGCCCAAGGATTGCATTATTGCATCTGCCCGAGAATCGCATGAGCCCGAGAAGTATATTGTGCCCGATGACTGCATGTGCCCGAAGACTGCATTGAGCCCGAGATTGCATTGTGTCTGAGAATTGCATATGTCTGAATAAATTCCAATCAAGCTACAAGTATCAACAGATGCCCGAATTATAGATACGCTTTATTTACTCATTACTCATATTCCTAAGGCGTCATGGTCTAAAGGCATCCTCTTTCATGGCCTGTGTACATCATATCATGGCCTAAGGATTTAATTTATGCTTATCATGATCCAAAGGTGTCATAGTCTAAAGGCATCACTTTTCATGGCCCACAGACAACATTTTCATGACCTGAGGATTTTTTATTTTTTTTATTTGCGTACCATAGCCCTAGACATCATAACCTAAGACATCATTTTCATAGTCTTAAGGCAAACATCATGGTCGATATGGGAATTGCATCATGTTTACATTTACCGTTTATCTGATATATATTTGCTCTAATCACTTTATTTAGTCATATTACAAGCTACAGATTTGCAGAGACTAACATTTTGCAGATAAAACATTTTTCACCTCTCGGCTACGATTATCGTGCTTACATCTATCGCAACGAAGGCCCTACCAAACTCTTTTCTACTCGTATCACCGTTTTCCATTTAATCCCTGGCTACTCATATTACCTCCTCTTCATCGGATCCTTCGCTCTTAAACCAGAAATCTTTTTGTCATGCCTTTCTCGCTATTTCTATCCTATCCATTCAAGCCAATATCATTCCCGCTCGAATATCGTACCGCTCTTTAAATTTTTAGGAGTTTCATTTTCTCCTGATTCTAGAACTACACATGACCTGATTCTCGTATAACCAGAGATATGTAGGCGGCTTAATACCAGAGTCTCGGTCGTACCCCTTTTCAACTCCACATCGTTTCAATTGATCCCACTGACACCTCTTGTCAGTCGGACAAAATCGGCTACTAATTCAACGTTGGTTTCCCGATAATTCATCCTTCATTCCCAAGCAACCAAGGGTCAGCTGTTGACACCTAATTTTGATCGACCTATAACCTTTTGGGATTGCTATTCGATTAAATATATTTTTAAAACATATTTCGGGTTTAAAATTTTAATCAATTTTGTCTTAAAAATTATATATTTTAGTATGCATGCTTATAAAACAATTATTGTAAATATTATTAAACTAATTTTTTATTTACCATATTATCGATAATTAAACACGAAATATTCACTTTACTCAAATGTTTTAAAATTTATGTGATTATATAAAAATATTATAATGTGTAGTATTTCAATTGGATACCATTTCCTTAAATTTGCTCTAAAATCATGTAAAGCTTAGCCTAACCCATTCAAATTTATTTAATCCGTAGCCACTCTTGCTATTTTAATTCATTTCGATTTTAACCTCTTATTCTAATTTAATTGCAATTCTAGCCCTTTTGTCCTTTGCAATTATAGCCAATTCACTTCATTTTTATATTTTAACCCAACCTCATCTTTTAATCATAGCCGTCGATATCATCCTTTGAATCCCAGCCCCTCATCTTAACATTAATCAACGGTTTGGATTAAATCTCCCAAACCTTCCAATTTAACCAAGAAAGACCAAAACCCTAGAATCATTCACTATTCATCTTCCTCTCTCTTCCTCTCTCTTCCTCTCTCTAGCGCCTCCTCCTCCTCCATACTCTTTCTACCTCCATTTTCGCCGGTGAGGCTGGCCACCATGTTATCCGGTGGCAGCCTCCTCTCCCCCTCGTCTTCATCTTCCCCTCTCCTTCCTCTTCTCTTTCTCTCTTCTCCTTTCTTTTCTCCCTCTCATCTCTCCGTTTTCCGACAAAACGAGCAGCTACAACCGTTGTCCTCTTCCACCAGCAACCGGAGAGGCAGTACAGCAGCAACAGCCGGCGAGGACAGCCAACCAGGTGAGGCCAATGGCGAGCAGTTGCTCCAGCCCTAGCGTCTCCCTCCGTTCCCTTCTCCGACGAGAAGAGCAGGTGAGCGCTATCGCTCCGCCACCAGGCGGGTGACAGCAGTAGCTCCGACCAAGCAGTGACCAGGCAACCTCCGGTCAGCGAACTCCGGCAAGCAAGCAATGATATGATAATGAAAGCAAAGCATTTTGATATGGACAGATCTTTATAGATCTGTCCCAGGTATGAACATTCATTTTAAGCTTTAATCTTTATATATGGAGGTCGCTTGTTCATTAGTGTTTATCTTTGTCCAAAATTCTTGTATAATTAAGGTATTGCAATTCGTTAGCATGCTGTTAGTGTCATTTCAATTTCATTAAAAATGTGTTAGAACTGATCTGTTAATTTTTGGGGTAGAACTAATATGTGACTTTTGTGTTGAAATTAATTTTCTCTTGACTGACTTTAAATTAATATGTCATGCGTATATTAACAATTGATTTAGCTCTCTCCTTAATTGATAATTGCCCTTAATTAGTAGAAATTGGTGATTTGATAGCAATCTTGTAGGTTTAAAATTGGTAAATCAAATTGATTGTGTTGATAAATATTTGTATATATATTCTGTCAAATCTTGCTTGATCACGACTAAAATTGGGCTGTAAATTATTTATTTACCTTAGATAATTACCTCATCCCGCTTGATTGTAGTAGTGACTGTTTTTTATAATTGATTATTTGCCATAGTTAGAATGTGAATTAGACTTTTATTGTGTTGGTTAAGTTTTGCTGATTTGTGCTCCCACCTTTTAAGGAAATAAAATAAAAGAAATAGATGCTCCTTAATTATACTCTTCCCTTTAATGTGTCATCCCCTTTTACTATAAATTAGACCCCCTTCTCTCATTCTCTATGACTTAGACATACACACACTCTCACATTCGGACAGAGGCTGACACACATTAATTAGCAAAAACTCTCTCTACTCTAAAAGAAAAGAAATAAAACAAAAATTCTTGTGAAATCTAAGAGGGCTCTCTAATCGGTCTTGCTGTGTTCGGGTCTAATAGTGGATTAAATTGTCTTCATTGCTGATAAATACTTCTGTATAACTGGTTAGTTGTTCCTCCATTAGTTTAATCTTCACTCTGTATTATTTTGAATATCGTTGTGTGTTTGAATGAATGAAAGGAAGCATCCGAGTTAGTTCTCTTCTCCCTTTTATATGGTGTGATGTATTTGCATGATGTCATATTCGGTGTTTGCTATTTATTTGAGTATTCGATGTTTGAGTTAATATGAGTATATCTTTTTGCCGGTTTCTATTAAAATGAATAATATTAAGAGCCCTTCTATTATTTTTGTGTTGTATTGCTTCTTTGTTAGCAGGGGTTTTTGAGTTCAAGTGATGAAGTGTCACTTGAGATGGGTTTCCGGACAGGATTTAGTTTTATTATTAAAGTTGTATTGCGTCATTTTTATTTGGTATTATAATAGTTGTATTAACTCCAACTCTCTCTCTATATAAAATGTATTTGGGGATCGCCTAAGGGGGAGGGGATTACGTGCTATTTGTTTACCTTATTGTTATTTAAATGTGTTAGAAAGCATGCCTATATGATTGTTGATTGTTTGATAGTTCATATTTAGATAGTTCGCTTTAGATCTAACTAAACTAAAATAAAATAAAATTACTATTGCCTTTAATCTCCTATGTTTTGACCCGAAATAATTAATCACCTCTTTAAGCTTTGTCTAACCATGTTTTAA